AAGCACTTGGCAGTCTTTCTCAGGCTTGAGTGTGTGAGTGTGTATGTGTGTGTGTGTGTTGTATGTGTGAGGTACACGTGGAGGCCAGAAGTTGACATCAAGTGTCCTCCTTGATTGTTCTCCACATAATATTGTCCAAGACATGATTCTTCACTGAACCTGGAACTTGTACTTCTGTCTTGACTGGCCAGCCAGTGAGCCCCCAGGAACTGCTCGTCTCCGCCCCACAGTGCTGAGGTTGCGGGTGCTTGCCATCACACCAGACCTTTCTGTAGGTGTCGAGGGTATGAACCAGGTCCTCGTGCCTAAGTAGTAAGCACCTTGCTTCCCATCTCCCAAACCTTGGGTTAAGGCCTTTTTTAAATGCCAGAATAGTAAAAACTACAGCCCTTGCACAGACAGGGATGGTGGGTAGGGTGGTGGTGGTGGTGGTGGGAGGACCGGGTGGGGAGGGGGAGCAATAAGTAACTTGTATCCAGGGCCAGTTAGTCACTATGGGACTCACAACAAAAGATGCTAACTAATATGTGAACGTCTTGAAATGCTGATCTGAATGAAGACCTGTGCCAACATTCAGACCAAGTGATTTGGGACTGGACTCAAGAATCCATATTTATATTTATGTTTATATTTATAGTCTTCTGAAAATCACGGTAATGACTAGTTCCCCTGCCAGCCACCCAATACACACAGTATTTGGAAGGTAGTTTCATAATTTTAAAAATACTAGCACCAATTATGATTATGTGAATCAAATATACCAGCCAGCCCATTGAGGTTGCCATGAAAACTAAAGGTAATGGAGGATAGGTAACTCTACATTCCTGATGACAGGATATCATAGACTGCATCATTTTCTGCTGTAAGAGAGCAATAGCCAAACTTTTCACTGGCATTCCTACCATAGTGAGTGACTCAAACCCTTGGCCTAGGTTGGAAAGCTCTCAGCATCTTTCCCCACCCTATTTCATTCCTGATACAGCTCATGTGAGCACCTTCTGACCTTCATCAGGGTTCCCTCCCTCCCTCCCTCCCTCCCTCCCTCCCTCCCTCCCTCCCTCTCTCTCTCTCTTCCAAGCTGTGACTGTTTATTAACTGACCAGATTACAAAAAATACCACAGGCAGCACCTTAGTTCACCCTTCTAATAAGCCTGGGGTTTTCACTGAATAACTTATGGCTTCTGGAAACAACTTTATCCATTAACAAAGGTACAGTACCCATGTTCAATTTTTTTTTTGTTTCCTACTTTCTATTTTAATTAGCTTATCAAGAATTAGGTTTGTCACTTTCTCCATACACAGTTTCGATACACCCTCACCTCCACTTCTCACCCTAGCCTTTCCATCTCCAATATTCCCCCTCCCCCTTCATCCCACATCATTCTACTATGGTCCCCACGTTAATCTTTCCCCCTTCTCATGGGCCCCTTTCTACCTCCCTGGTCTCCGAACACACACTCATTCCTACAGAAATAAAGAAGCTAGGCTCTAGATAGGAGAGAGAACATGTGGAGTTGTCTTCCTGAGTCTAAGCTACCTTACTTACTGCATTTTCTGCTTCCATTCATTTTCATCTGTTGATATGCTGACTCCACGTCTCTACCATTGTGCAGAGCAGCAATAACAAGACTATACAAGCATCTCCATAAGAGGATATACAAAAAGAAAGCCATTCTACCCACTGAACTACATGCTCAGAAACTCGCCCTGACTGAAGAGGCTAAAAACATGTGGAAACTAAGTTCAACATGTTATTCTAGACCTACCCCCTCCCTATTTCTCTGAGACATGATCTTACTATATAGCTCAGGCTGGCTTCCATCCTGAGTGCATCCAATCAGTATCTTGTTGCATCCAATCAGTATCTTGTTCTTGAAGGAGCTGAGGGAAAAAAGCACTGTCTACTCTCTTTGCAACTTTGCTCTGTGGTTAAGATTGATCAAAATGAGGGGCGGGGGGTGCCAAAGAAAGCCCCGAGACCCCAGAGAGAAGAGTGACAAAATCAGACCAGGCAGCCTTGATAATTGCAACTGTGTCACCATATAGGGCATTCTGTTTTTTTTTTTTTTTTTTTTTTTTTTTTTGGTTGCTGAGTTTGTTCCATTTTTTGAAACAGGATTTCCTTAGGTAGCCCAGGTTGGCCTTGAATTCAAAATCCACCTGCCTCAGCCTCAAGAGGGCTGTGACTGCAGGTTTCTGCCACCTGTACAGGGACTTTGGCATATGGACAAAAACTAGTGCTCTAGAAGATTCCAGAATTACATGGAAGTGATGTATCATGAACAAGAATATAAAGTCATTAATTTTAAAAAGTAACCCTTTTGAAAAAAAATGTGAATCCATTCACCATTCTATCCACAAACACATTTTATATAGATCAAATACTTGAAAAATTAAATACTTGAAACAATGGCACTTCTTTAGCAAGGAGCACAGTTAGAATGTAGTTCAGTTTCTAAATGTCATTCCCTTGTTGATGTCTCGTTGGAGAAATGGCCAATTACCCACTCACAATAGCTGGCCACTTCACTGGGTGTTATGACACTGTTACAGCTGGAATGTGAATGATCCTCAATCGTAGCGCTGTTGTGAGAGGTTGTAGAACATTGTGGGTACGGGTGTAGTGGGCAACAGAAGCAGGGCCAAAGGACAGTCTGCCCTGTTCCTGCCAGCTGGAGACATCTGCCTCTTGACTGTCCCTCATGAATTAGCTACTTCACATTCCTGCCATAGCCACAAGGTGTAAATTCTGCAGTGCACCCAACTCATTGCACTCCCTCAAACCATGAAGCAAATCCTTCCCTCTCAAGTTGCTTCTTCAAGTATTTTATCAGAATATCAAGGAAAAATGACTAATTGTTTTAGTAATGATGATTTTCAACTTTGTCCTTTTATAAGACTTCTGTGTGTGTGTGTGTGTGTGTGTGTGTGTGTGTGTGTGTGTGTAATGTGTTTGTGGGTATTTGGGGAAGCTAGAAGAGGGAGACAGAACCCCTGGAGCTGTTGTGAGCTGTCCAATATGTTACTGGAAACTGAACATGTGTTTCCAGCCCTAACATGCTAATTTCTAATAAACACTCCTACTCAGTGCTTACCTCTCCCAAGTCCCAACACATATCCATGAATGGGATCAGAAACCAAGAAGGGGACTTCAGAATCTATCTCCTGAAAGTTGCTTTCAGCTATGAATACCGTCGTTGCTGTGCATAGGGACATTTCACTTTCCTAGCAAGTGCTGGACTAATAACACTGTTCATTAGAATCCAAGTTTCCTGTTTTAAACTATCAAATACACTATGTGCAGTATTTAAATACTTTAGACTGTAGGCTGTCTTCCTTCTGGACAGACTTCCTAAAGTTTAAGGGTTATAGATATACACCTGAGTTGTGCTAACACTTGGACACTTGGACTTGTACATGGAAAAGTAAAGACAATAATTAAGACTTGGTCAATAAAAATGGAAGTGATATCTTTAAAAGTCCTTCATGGAAGGGTCTAACCTTTTTTTTGCAGTAATACACTGTCATCTACAAATGTGGTGTGCTAAGGTCATACCTGCCCTGGGGACATAAGGCCCACAGGCAGCAGAACATACTTAAATGGTTACATGGGTATCTCAGAACTGCCAGCTTGAAAAATTTCAGAATTCTCAAGTTGACCTGCAAAAAAAAAAAAAAAAAAAAAAAAGAAAGAAAATTCATAAAAAACGAGGCTTTCCCCACATCCACATCCTTGCCCATCAGATTAACAGTGACAGAGGGAAGGAAGAAGGGAGATCATGCCGTCTTTTTTCTCATAGTGCCCATCATGCTCCTCACCCAGAAAACTGGTTCCAAACGCTAAACACTTCTAGCAAAGCTACCCATTTCTTCCTTCCTTCCTTTCTTTGTTTTTTTTTTTTTTTTTTTTTTTTTTTTTTGTTTTGTTTTGTTTTTGTTTTGTTTTTGAGACAGGGTTTCTCTGTATTGCTTGGGAGCCTGTCCTGGAACTAGCTCTTTAGACCAGGCTAGCCTCGAACTCCTGCCTCTGCCTCCTGAGTGTTGGAATTAAGGCGTGTGCCACTAGCTGCCCGTTTCTTAACCCAAGATTTCTTCTTTACACTGGCATCCAAGCCTGGGTCAGTTCACCTTCAATGTACCCACTTGGTGGACCCGGCCTTCCACCTGCAGGCACAGACCATACAACACTGATGAAGAACTTCAACAGCTGTTATCACTTTCTACTGAACCTGTCCTCCATTAGCCTAGGTTAATTATTCGGGAAGCATTTTTGTATATCTACAACCTTTGGAAAATGAAATGCTAAAAACCTCACTGTTATGGTACAGTAATATTTAAGACCCTTTGCCAAAGTGAGGGGAAAAAAAATCACAAGTTGATGCCATTTGTCTTTTGTTTTCCCTGTTTAGACTTGCTTATATTTACATGATTTCCAGGCTGACCACTCACTGGAGCAGACTATCTCAGCAATCTCCCTCTCTCAGCAATCATTAGTTTCCTGTAATTCTATGACTATGGTGGGGTCCTGTGAGATTTTCCCCATCCATGTTGCCATCAACTGGTTCTGTCATTGTTCAGGTCTTATTTAAGCAGCCATATACAATAGGTATAGCTTCTGGCATTTCCTAGTACCACAATCTCAAAGCAGACTTCCCAGTCCTGTGGCTCTTACAACTCTGACACTCTTTCTGTCCACCCCATATCTGTGGTGTTCCTTGAGCCTTACACCTGGGGCCATGTTGTGCTGTGTCAATTGGTACTGGGCACCCCAAGGTCAATCATTCTTTGCATTTTGGCCAGCTGTGGATTTCTGTTATGGCTTCCATCTGCTACAGAGAGAAGTTTCTTTAATGAGGGATGAGAGAAAAACTGGTCTGTGGGTATAAGGACAAGTATTTAGCATACAGTTAGGAATTCTGCTAGTTTAGTAAAGTGACAGCAGTCAATTCTTCTCCAAGATCCTCATTTGTTTTTTTTTCCACCAGTAAAACATTCAAAGTAAAACATGAACATTTAATTGCCTTTAAATAATACATGAAATAATTTACATGCTATACATCCCAAAACACAATCAACATAAATCCAATTTTATAAGACATTTACACAGACTTTTGTCAACATATGCCCTGTATGTTACCCAGGATGTTATCTGTGTGAGCATGTAAACACATACGTACATGTGAAGCTGAAGATTAGCATAATGAACCAAAGTGATGACCATACGAAGTCTGCCATAGAAGAGTCTAAAACCACAACCTGACGGAACCAAGGCACAGAAGCTTCCTGTTGTGGCCACAGAGGGTAAGTTTCCTTTCCCAATGTCTAAACACCATTAATTATATGCTATATCTTTATAGTACATTTCTGTTACTTTTTAAAATGCATTGTTTTTATTACATAAGGTCTTATGGAAGTGAACTTGAAAAATAAACAGAAATAGATAAAAATCACATACAATAAAGCTTTCTTCATTTTCAAAAAAGATACATATGTTCAAAACTACTATAAGAAATATTACAGATATAGGTGCAATCAGGAGATATGTAAGATAACTTATGCAGATTTCTTAGTGTCCTTGAACTGTACCTCTTGTCATTTGTTTAAAAGCCAGCTAGTAATACTGTCAACTGAAAGTGGTTTTTTGAAAATATATGTATATCCTAGTCCACAGCATAAACTATGACCATAACAAAGCAAACAAAACCCTTTCCAGAGTTCAAGCTGCTTTTGTTGAACATTAACCGCTCCCCTCAGTGCTCCGTTTCTGTCCCTTTTATATTTAAGAGGAAAAAAATATATTCCACATAAAAATGATTGCTTTAAAATTTAAAAAAACCAAGCAAAATCTCCACTCTCAGTACGCCCCTTTTCACTTTTACCTGCAAGTGAGTAGGCAGGGACACTAAAGTGAAATGTTCTAGGAAATCAGGCAGTTATGTACGGTTAGTCCTCAGAACATTTTAGAGCTTTGCCACTTTAAAAGGAGCAAATCTAGCCACAAAGTAAGAGTTAACAGAATGCAGTAATCCGAAAGTAAATGCCAAATGTGCTTATACTTGTCTAAGAAATCAGTCCTCTAAGCTGTAAATAATGAACTGGTAGCTGTGCTCGAAACAAATGACAACCAGAACAAAGCCTCCAGAGGCACTGACTTTGAATATGTCGGGATTGGTCAATTGCCATCTACTGGAGTCTACAACTTTGTATGCAGGAGTACTGCAGCATATGACTCTCAAGTAACGAGAGTGCAGTGCTTTTCATGAAGTAAGGCCGAGTAAAGGAGAAATCAGACACCTTGTCCTTGGCTGTAAAACCCAAAGAATATACTGAGAATTTACTTTAAGGCCATCTCAGAAGTACTTCTCATGACACTTCAATGTTAATGTCACTAAATGGCAAAGTACACAAATAGTCACACATCTGCAGACCTAAAAGCACATGCCATGTCAACCATTAAGGGTTCACATTATTAGGTCTGTCTTCTCAGAGTTGAATTACACTTGAGGAAGGCAATTTGAGCTTGGCTGTAACTAACATCTGATCAACAGACGGTCACCTCACTGGCGGACTGTAAGTCATTCCCAGTACGTGTACCCGATACCACTCACTTCCTACAGAGATGAGTATCACTCTTGCTACAAATGAACAGACGGTCACCTCACTGACGTACTGTGTAAGTCATTCCCAATATGTGCACCCAATACCACTCACTTCCTACAGAGATGAGTATGGCTCTTGCTACAAACAGCACTTAGCCGACATATTCCTCCCAAGAGCAGTTATAATCCTCTTCTCAACTATTCACCTTCTGTTAAGCCCCAAAGTCAATGAACAAATCCCCCTGCCCACGTGTACAGACCATCCTCATGACTACATGTTTCTTACACTACAGTCAGTCCAGGAGATACTTGAAGGAATCTAACAAGTCATTCTTGCCACACCATACTCCAAGCTGACCACAGCAGGCTCCGACTTAGAAAACTCCTCAGGGTAGTCACAGTACCGATTATCTGCTGGGTTGCTGCCCTCTATAGCTCGAAGTGTGTCATTCACCGGAAGCAGACTCTGCTCTTTCAGACACAGGGAGGTTTTGAGGGCAGGTGATTCAGGGTTAGCAAGCATCAAGTCCTTCGCTAGGATGCCATTTTTGCGTTGCATAATTTTCTAAAACAGAACATTGAAAAAGCACTAGTAACTATAGACAATAGGTGATCAAGCTATGGTAAGTGAAGTTAACGTGCTTTCCAAAGTGTCCCCCTTGTTTATGGTATACAGTTATAAACTCAGTAATGAAAAATCCCAATAGCTTAAAACTTATCAGAGAAAATGCTTCATGAAGTCTTTACATTTGTCAACCAAGTCAACCAGATTTGACTGTGAAGACATGCCAGAAGTGCACATATTATTCAAGAGTTTAACAAGCAATCATTTTATAAGGACAGGGATGTAGAGAACATGCTCAACCTGAAGTCATTATAACCATCGCACCTTACTCAGCCGAAGGTCCTGCTGACCATGACAAGATCCTCACAGGTTGTCCCTCATTAAGGGTCGCCATGTGACCTTTGGAAGGTCACAAAATCTTTTATTTTTTTTAAAGTGCCCTTTGGCAGAGTATCATGCTCTCCAAGTCAACCGTCTCCAGACAGGTGTCTCATGTTGCCTATGTCCTGCCCTTCCTCACCTTAACATTAACATTTTCCCTACAGTTTACTTAAGCAGTAACTACTTTGTCATCTAAGAAACAATGAAAACCATCTGCCTCAGAGGCAGACAGGACATCCTTGAACAAAAATAACTGTCGTGTGTGTGTGTGTGTGTGTGTGTGTGTGTGTACATACTTTTGTTCATCCTTTTGGTTATATATGATGGCAGAGAAATGATTATAAGAAAATCTTATTGTAGAGAGATATTTATTATGCACATATTAACAGAGCATAAAAATAGCAATAGTAAGGAGGAAAAGAGAAGAATAGGCCAGACAAAGCTATTATCAATAAACCTAGCAGAGAATTAGTACCTAGTATATAAGAAACCCTGACAAAAAAAAAAAAAAAAAAAAAAAAAAGAAAAGAAAAAAGGCAAACAGGTCAAAAGAAAAGTGAGTACAATCTGGAAGTTTATTCTCAACAAAGGGAAACAAAATGCCCAAGAGACTCTCATCATGGAAGAAATCCAAAATGGAATATACTTTCACACAACAAATATGTTTTTTTTAGATAACTCAGAATACTTACAGACTCTAGGTCTTTAATGTCTTCCTCTAACTGCTTGTTTTGCTCATTCATATTCATAATTATGTTCAATACAGACTGTCGAGGATGGAGTGTCCGATCAAACTGATGGTACATGTTTCTCCAAAACCTTTACAACAGAGAAGTTTTTAACCAAACACTGTTAGATGGACTGGTGAGCTCTGGAGTGCTCCGCACAGTGGAGTGGGAACAGCTCTTCATGGCCTGTTCTAAGCTCTATACACAATCGAGAGGAGCTTGCGTCCAGTAACAATGAGGACACAGAAACAGCATCTTCTCTGATCTGATTAGCACACACTCCACATGGATTCCAAACATCACGGTGTTCATAAACATACACTGTTTATAGTTGAAATCAAGAAAACAATGTAAAAATGTGGGAATGCTATCTTCATTTGGTCATTATTGTATATGTGTATACAACGATCACACTGCACCCCATAAATGTGTAATCAAAATAATGAGAGATGGCTCAGTGGTTAAGAGCACTGTCTGCTTTTCCAGAGGACCTGAGTTCAGTTCTCAGCACACACATGAAGGCTCACAACCATCTATAATTCCAGTTCCAAAGAATCTGATGACCTCTTCTGGCCTCCCTATGGAACACACACACACACACACACACACACACACACACACACACACAGAGCACATGCATACACAGACACAAGCAAAGTACTCATACAAATCATAAAAATAAAATAAATAATATTTTTTAATTAAAAGTTCCCAAAATTTGTTTGAGAAAGATCACATAAAAATGCTTCAATGGTGCTAACTTACTTAAAATTGAAAGAAACTGTATTTGGCTCCAAGAATGTCAAGCTTTCAGATTTGGAACTGTAGAGAGGATTTAAGTACTTCGGTTTGTCATCCAAAAGAAAAGGCCACAGGGAGTAAGTCTTCTCCTTCAACCTTAGAGAATAAGGAAACATAAAAGTGTTACCTAGTGATGCACAGTAGTCTGCTATCTTCCAGCTGAAGACCAATGGCTCCTGTCTGAGTTCTGCTTTCCCTGTGTTTCCTTCCTCACTTGTGACCACATGCAATAGATGTGTCTTGAGGGATTCTTCTCCTGCACCAGGGCCGCCTGACCTCACAGCAGGGCACTGATGCAGCTACTTTACCTTAGGTTTACAACCCCACGCTGGGCCTTGAAGGCTACTATTATATAGGACAGAAATACATTTCAGCGGAGGAGTTTGAAATGCCAGCTGCATGCTTCTCTAAAGTACATGGGTAATGGACAGCTGGCTGTAGAGGAGGCATCTATGCAGCCAGCAGGTGAGCCTAACACAGATGCTGTGGGCATGCACCAGTCCCATGAGTCCTAAGATGGCCCACAGCTGTGTTCTAAGAATGACGACTAAGAAATATCCATTATTATTTTCCTCTTCTCATTGTTTGAGGATGTTTGGTACCAATTGAGAAGTTTTCCTAAAATAGATTTGTACCCCAAGAAAAGTTACCTAGCCAATTATTATAAGCCATCATGTCTAGAGCCCAAAGCTAATGTCATCTTGTTCCTCATCTGCTACTCCTTTTACACCTTTAGGATTTCCCGTGTCTCCTCGGTTCTGCTGTCAGCTCCACTGGGAACATGGGCACATTGCTGTCTTGTACCCACAACCAGGGTCAGCTTCTCCATATGTCACTTGGAAGTTCTAGATTCACTGTTACTATAGAAATCTAAACTCAGAATCCAAAACCAAACAACACTTTCTGAGAAACAAAAAAGGGAGCGCCAAGGGAAATTAGAGGGGTCTTATTCTGGGTACTGGCTCTGTGTGTGTATATAAGTGTGTGTGTATATAAGTGTGTGTGTGTGTGTGTGTGTGTGTGTGTGTGTGTGTAGGTGGTAAAATTTACTGAGCTGGTAACATATATTACAGTACTTTTCTGGATACTATTATACTTAAAAATGTATTTTTACAATTACCTGGGAGAGTGGCATATTAATAGTATACTTTAGCTTCAAAAATAAACTTTTAAGTAAAATTCAGGTCTATCATTTTGCAGCCATGATTTACAGCAGGATGACATGGGTGATGCAGGAGGAAACGGCCTGTTTTATATCATCCACTTACTTGAGTTCCTCTCTTTCCTTCTGGCAATTCCCAAGGAAGTTCCCGAACTGACATGAATGAACATGCTCGTGGATCTGAAGAAGAAATGCTTCATTGAACTCAAATGCTTGTGGGAACTGCTCAGTCAGGTGCCACACACACTCCAAGAACTGAGTAAACACTGGTGAGACTTCCTTTGGGTCACCGTCCAAATGGCCACACCTGCCCCCAGAAAGCACATACTTTTAAAAATGCCTCCAAAAGAAGTTCACTGCTTAGGTACTGAAACTTAAACACACAAAACTAATACATGCATGTATCACATTTGTAATACAGACATCCCCATTTGTAATCATCATTTTAGTGCACATCTATAACCCCTGCAGGAGGACCAGAAGTTTAAAGCCAGCCTAGCTACAAGGCTGTCTCTGTCTCAGACAAACCTCCATGGTCATGAGAACTAACAGGCAATAAAAGAAAGAACTAACAGAGACATTAGGTCCAGCTTCGTATAGTTCACACCTTCATTTCTTATGCCACAGAGATGTGCAAATTCCAAAAAAAAGGAACACAGTGATTCAATTTTGCAAAGATATTATTGCCACTCACCTCTCTGAAAACTTATGCCCAAATGATATCCAGTCTTTTTCTATTAAAACCTGGTGAGAAAAAAAGTATAACCAACTATATAACTATTTTCAACTTAAAAAAAAAAATGTCATGACAATTCTAAGAACAGAAAACAAAACAAAACAAACAAAAACACTACAGACTAGAGTGAGGGTTCAGAAGAGTGAAAATACATAAAAAGTGGCCTTATGACAATCTCTTCCTGTTGTACTTACTAAGAGCACACCTGGTAAGGCAGAATTACATTTTTTTCTACATATAAAAATTACACCAAAAAGGTTAGGAAAAGCCAGTGGTAACCCCGCACTCAAGGCTCAAGACCTGTCATAGCTTCACAGGGAAACCTTGTTCTGAAATGGAGTTGGGGTGGGAGAGAGGAACTAGGAAAATGTAAACTAGAACTGTAATAATGGCTAGCTCTGGGTAGAATGGGGGTTTTAAACCATTTGGCTTATTTGTACATTTGTTTACATCAATCAACGTAAAAAAAAAAAAAAAAAAAAAAAAAAAGGTAAGACCCTGTCTCTTGGGAAATAAAACAAAGTCAATAAAAGTGCCAGCTTTTAGTCAAATCCCAGTGCTGATGTGCATGCCTCAGACTGACCTCAGCCTCCACCCCCACTCCCTTCTGACTTCAAGATGCCAAGATAACATTTTACAAAGCACCTCTCATCAAGCTACCAGTTGCTCTTTTTGTATTATTTAATGGCTCTCAGTGCCCAGAGGGGAAAGTACACATCCCAGCATCGTCTTCTTCAGGCTCTTATGCTACAATTCCTGTGCACCAGGCTTACTCTCATATTCCCTCACACATCACCTACATCTCCTAAAGGGCCCCTGCTGTGTTCCTGGTCATTTCTTACATAGCTTCATCCAAATGCCTGGCAAATGAGCTAAGAATAACATTCCTCATTTATATTCAAAATGTAAGCATAGTGTTATTTTTTTAGTGGTACTACTTTCATGTAGTTTTCTTATTTCCATTTAGTTTGTTATTTCCATTTGATTCGGCATGATAATGGAGCCAAATAACAGTGTTGACCCTTGTCACAGGACGTTGCTTAGTAATTATAAGCTTAAAAAACTCTCTAATATCTGGTCACGTACTCACTGTGTATTTCTATGTAAATTTCTGGTTTTTTTTCAGACAGGGTTCATGTAGCTCAGACTGGTCTTAAACTGATAACATAGTGAAGGGTGACCCTGAACTCCTGACTTCCCATCTTCACCTCTCAAATGCTATGCTTGCAGGCTCAGCTTAATATACCTGGCTTAACAAGTAAATTTGAAAGTTAATCTAATCAAATACAAAATAGAAAATAAACAGAAGATAAAAATCCTGCCTAGAAGAAAACTGTTCAACTAGAAATTTGGTTCCACAGACAGAAGGACACCACGGTGTTTCACTTAACATCTCGGTGCTATAGAGGAACATTCCCTCAACAAGATTTAAAGTTCAGGACTATAGTTTATACATTACTTTCGTTAGCTAAAGATGTGGGAGAAAATATCAACAATTCCGCTATTAACTCTTTAGTGCTGTGTGTGTGTGTGTGAATGTGTGTGTGAGTGTGTGAATGTATCAATGTGTGTGTATGAATGAGTGTATGTATGAGAGTGAGAGTGTGTGTAAGTGTGTGAATATGTGTGAGTGTGTGGTGTGTGTATGAATGTGAGTGTGTGTGTGTGAATGTGTCAATGTGTGTGTATGAGTGTGTATGAGAGTGTGTGTGAGTGTAAGAGTGTGTGTGTGAATGTGTCATTGTATGTGTATGAGTGTGTATGAGAGTATGTGTGTGTGAATGTGAGTGTGTGTGTGGAATGTGTGAGTGGTGTGTGTGTGAATGTGTGTGTGAGTGTGTGTGTGAGTCTAGATCTGAAGTATTTTGCCAAGAAACGTTATACAACTGAGATTAGTCTAACTGCAGGGTCCTCTGCCACAGAAGCACTGACATCGAAGGCCCAAGGCTCTTTAACCAGAGCTGTCCTGTGCAGCAGGGTCAACTGCTTAGCAGAATCTCCCAGCTGCATGACCTCAGTCTAAAACTGTATTTAACTAAATCATTGGGTCCAATGGAATCAATCCTTACCATAAATCCTTTCATTGTCCTGTAGTAGGAATCCAACAAGAGTGAGCCGAGGGAACAAACTTGGGAAGTCCTATCCCATCCATCGGAACAGTGGACCAGCACACTTGCATTTTCAACCACTATTGCCTGGGGGGGGGGGGGAGAAATGACACACTCAGATTCCTGTAAAATATCCTTTACATAAATCAGCAAGGTTGCATATTAAAACCCACATCATAAAGAAGAGCTGGCCCTGCAATGGCACTGTTGCCACAGCAATTAAAGCAACAAACAATAAAAACAAGGACAGCAAACAAACAAAAAAGTGTTGTTTCTAAGTACATGGGGACCATAACCCTCTACATCAGGTACCACTTCAAACTGAAGTGGACTCCATTAGAGAGGCAAAGAAGAGCAAAGACTGTCTGGGCAGAACAGACCTCTGTACCGATGCTAAGTCCATCCCTTCCCAAACATGACAAACCCTAAACCAATGAGAGACAGTTACCTTGGCTAAGAAGATTGCAGCATCCAAAACAGCCTTGATATGGCGAAGCCACCCTGAACTCTCCAAACCAGAGTAGAAGTCGTTGATGGAAAGCCCCTTGTTGCCATTCACTATGAAACAGGGAGGAAGGTTTTCATTAGAATGGGGCTAGGGTTCCCATAAACCCTTTCAGGGTATCTCAAGGGAAGTGAATTGCAGAATCTGCATATAAATGAATCATGGTATTAGAGGCCAAATGATACTTTGGGGAACACTTTTCTGCCCTTCCTTAGGCTTAAAAGAAATGTTCAATCACCTTTTAAAAAGGTAGTGCAAATGTAATTTTTTAAAATTACATCATAACTAGAATGTACTGACTATTCAATGATCTCTAATAATAGGGATCTATAAAACCATTAGAGCCATGCAGATAGAGAAGTTACCACCCAAAATGGGGCTACTGAGCACCTGAAATGTGGCTAAGCCGAAGTGAGACAAAAAGTATAAGAACATCAGTGCTTTCTAAGACTTGATGACAATAAAGATTTCACTGCTTGTGGTTGTGCACACCTGTAATCCCAGCACCCGAGAAGCTGAAGCAAGAGGATGCACATTTCAAGGCAAGCCTAGGCTACAGAGGAAGTTCAAGGATTCCTTGCATTAAATAAAACCCTTCTCAAAAAGCTATGAGTAAGCAATCAAGTGGGGTGGGGGAGGGAGATGAAGAATGAGAGGGAGAGGGAAGGAAGAAGAGGGAGGGGAGGGGTAGAGACTAGTCCATGAATTTTTATACTGACTACATGCTACACAATACTTTTACTATATTAGGTATATTATCAACATTAATCTCATGTTTTCTTCCCTTTTTGAGTGTAACTGACAGAAAATTCAAATTCCTATGTGACTACCACTATCTCACAAAACTTTCTAAAAAGTGTAATAATCATACCTTCCAGTAATTTCTGAAGGCTGGATCTCATGACATGAATATTTTCTATTCCAACAAACTGAAATCTAATATTAGAATAGTTGTCTTCATTTTCATAACCTTTTCCGGCTGCTCTGTTAGCCATTGCATTCAGCTAAAATTCAAAATTTTAGAAATTTACAATCAAAGTATTTTTATCTTTAGTTTATCAAAATGCCATAAAAAACACTAAATCACACTTTATAGGCAGGAGAGCATTTAAAGAAACTCATCAAAATTGAATAAGCTACTATTTTTAACAAGCAAAACTGCCAAGTCACCAGCAGTGAAGAAGGGCAGTGTGCAGGGAAATGTGGCTGTCACACAAGGAAGTCTAGTCCAGCAGACTTTAAAAACTCAAGAAGATAATTCACTACATTCTCAGCAGCTCTCCACATTTATGTAGCAACTCAAAGTTAAAAAGGAAGGGATGGTTTCTATCTAAATCTAGATGTGGAGATGGGCAGAGCTGGAGATCTCAGTTTACAGAATCAGACCGTGAGACTAAACCATAGGGGCCCCGAGAGCCGGATGTGAACTATGGCTCTGTGCTATGAAGCTTGCCACAGCACTGCACCTCAGCTGTGTTGTATACAGCATCATCCACCTGCCTGGCACAGCTCCAAGAATCATGCCTAAGATAAACTGTTTTCCTAGAGGAAAAACAGACTGTGGACTAATCACAGGCCATTAGGTCCAGCATGCTGGCTTCTTTCATACAGTATATTACTATAATTATAAGAAATGGATAAAGAAAATAACCTAAAATATGCCTTGGGCTGATAACAAGTACAGGTAACTGTCTGTACCCATTGACTCAACTGTTATCAGGACTTATGATGACTGAAGTAAAATTAAAATATGGTTCCACATCATCACAACTTAATTTTAAACTTAGAAAAGCAACGGAAAAAAAAGCAGTATTTTCTGTATCAGTGGCAATTATACAAATAAAAACTATTAGGTCACAGTCAGACCTTATCTTCAAAGCATACATATTATAATCACCTTTTATATCTAACATTGCCTAAAAAAATCATTAGATTACAAGCCTCCAGTAACAAGAGAACACAATTTTTCTTATGAGACACTACCAAGATTATCAATACCAATTTCTAATTTGTAATACTTTCTAATTTACTGGAATTACTCTCATCTTCCGTATTTTCCATTGTCTTTTGTGAGGTTGCATAGTGACGGAGAATCACTCTAAAACACTACGGTTCCTTTCACAGTGCTGCCTAAAATCGCTTGTGTTCTATAGTGCTCACTCGCTTTTTCTCATCGCTTTCTCTTATTTTCTCATCATTCCAGATTTTTGAAGAAATCCTCACTATAATTCTGCCAATGTCCTTTTGTGTATCCCACCAGCTCTGCATGCGATGCTATAACAGAAATCAAAATAAAGTTAGCTGTCACTGCTGAAGACTGTAATTACTCTAATTTCAGGGTCCTATGTAAATCAGCTCTCTGCTGTGCATATAAAAAGAAGCACAGATTTGGATTCGGTCTCAGTGACAAGAATGTAGAGTTGGACCACAGTTACCAGGAGAGCGGCAATTTCCTGTTCATTACAGTTCTCTGTTTCAGTGTTTCCTATATTACATAATTGTTTCCTCTAGTTTTCAGTCTTTCAAATTACGGCCAAATTATTTCAACACAAAGTATTTTGTCAATTAATAGTTTTAGTAACAAAGAGAGTAATAAGCTGGATATGGTGATGCATGCCTATAATTCCAGCATTTAGGGGGTAGAGGCAGAGTGGACCAGGATCCTTAGCTACACAGTACAAATGCTTCATGAAACCTTGTCTCAAAAAAAAAAAAAAAAAAAAAAAAAAAAAAAGCAAAAAAGAAAGAAAGAACTGGAGGGAGGGTATTAAGACTTAATACATCTTCAAGAGTTCTGTATGTGGCAGGGCATAGCATCACACATCTTTAATCCCAGCACTTGGGAGGAAAGACAGGAAGATCTCTGTGAGTTCTAGGCCAGCCTGGTCTATATAGTGAAATCTAGAACAGCCAGAGCTACGTAGTGAGACCCTATCATGAAAAAACAAAAATGAAACAGTTGCAAATGTGTGTGTATAGCTATGATAGATGTGCGTGCGTGTGTGCATGTGTGCGTGCGTGCGTGTGTATAGATATGCCTCCTCTTAGGTTTTTTCTCATCTTTTTGTCTCACTTTATAAAAAGCTTTCCGAGTTTTAGTAGGGAAATAAAAATTTCAGATGTTGTTAATTTATATTTTAATTTTTATGCACATTGATAGGTGTTTTGCCTGAATATATGTCTGTATACTGGGTATGTGCAATATATATTATATATATACACACACATACACATATATGAGGAGACAGAAGAAATCATGCCCTAGGGCACTGAGAACTGGTCTCCTAATTGCTATCCCTCAGAGGACTGATTTGATTTTCTTTATAACATTAGCCTTTGTTAACTTAAAACTACAATTCAGGTATGTTATATCTGGGCAAATATATTTATTCCCATCAATTAGAGACATAAACAATAAAAATAACAGACTGCACAGCACCTGCATACATACCTTGGGCCTGGTATCCACAACATACATATAGTGGTTTCCTGAGTTGGCTGTACTAATGGCTTTAAGCATTTTCTCATCCTCCAGGCACCTGGCACTGAAGCCTGACAATGGCTGACTACATCGACAAATGGCAGCCTAATTTAAAAAGACAAACCAGATTATATAAAGACTCTAAAAGCTTAGAAAAAGACCCAAAATGTTAAAATCAAACACACTATATATTTTAAAGTCAGCAAGAAAATTAGACATTGACTTTGATTTAAATACCTGTCAGAATCTATATGCTGTCTACAGTTCCTGTGGTGGCTTGAATGTAAATGGCCCCTAGACTCATATGGAGTGGCATTAATGGAGTAGGTGTGGCCTTGGAGGAAGTGTGTCACTCAGAGTGGGCTTTGAGGTTCCAAATGCGCAAGCCAGGCTCAGTGTCATACTCCTTCCTGCTGCCTGCTGCTATCTAGAGGTAGAATTAACTCTTAGCACCTTCTCCAGCCATATGTCTACCAGCATGCCATCATGCTCTCCACAATGATGATAATGGACTAAACCTCTGAACCTGTAAGCCAGCCCCAATTAAATGTTTTATAAGAGTTGCAATGGTCATGCTGTCTCTTCATAGCAATACATTCTAAGACATTTCCCAGTATTCTCTTCTCCTAAGAAAACTAAATATTTTCATACCAATCTTACACACACACACACACACACACACACACACACACAAATCAAAGTTTGGTTAACTGTCTATCAAGGATGACACACTTGTATTCCAGGTTTTATATGAGCTACAAGATACTTTTAGCTCAAGTTCAAGTCAAGAAGATGGGCTAGCAATACACAAGGAACAGGAAATTCTGCTGAACATAGGAGCTGGGAACTGAACTAGAATCCTCTGGATGAGTAGAAATCACTCTTAACCACGAGCCTTCACTCCCATCCTTAACAATATCTCAAGCTGGGAAGATAGGGCAGCAGGTCAGAGCACCTACTGCTCTCCCAGAGGACTAGGTTTCAGGTTCCAGAACCTGTATGGAGACTCACAACCTTTAGTAACTCCAGTTCCTGGGGACTGAATAGGGACTAGGCACATACTCAGTACACAGACATACATTCAGGCAAAACACCTATCAATGTACATAAAAATTAAAATATAAATTAACAACATCTGAAATTTTTATATCCCTACTAAAACTCAGAAAGCTTTTTATAAAGATGAGAAAAAAACAAAAACAAAAACAAAAACCTAAGAGGAGGCATATCTATAAAAAAGGGTAAGTGTAAGCCAGGCAGTGGTGGCACACACCTTTAGTCCCAGTCCTGGGGAGGCAAAGCCAGTTGGATCTCTGTGAGTTTGAGACCAGCCTGGTCTACAAAGTGAGTTCCAGGACAGACAGGGCTGTTACACAGAGAAACCCTGCCTCAATAAATAAATAATAGATGAGTTCTTTCCTATTTTTCTGAAAAAAAATTTAATCAGTTTTGTATTACTGGATGTCATATCCTAGTTCTCATAGCTTAAGTTTCTTTGTTGTTACTGTTTTAAAGTTATGTTCGACATGCCCTTTACACCTGTTTTCTCATTACTAAGTAGACCAAGAGTAATTTTAGCCTATCTTTCCAATAAACAATGTATGCTAACAGGGTGTGTCCAAGGAGGCCAGGTAACTCCCAATGGCTTGAGGTACTAGATGTAAATTAGAACGTTCTGTTTAAAATTCACCTGAAAAAATTCTAACACAAGGTATATAAGGCCGCCAGGATAAGCACGGACAAAAAACATGCCAACAGAGGTGCGGTGACATTTGTGGTAACAGCAGACTGACAACAGGCAACTGATTTGGCAGAGGAAGTGCCTGCTACAGGAAGGAGCAAGGGGAATCTAGCAGCAGGGTCATAGCTGGCACCTGCAGGAGCAGGGCGTGGCTAGATACACACAAAGGTGAGCTATGGCCTCCGGGTCTTTCTTCCCTGGACTCAAAGTTTAGGCTACAAAGAGGATTAACCTCAAGGCTGGACCCAGCAATGGATGGGAGTGAAACCTTGGAGTTCCCTAAACAAAAGGATAAAATATAATTTACCCAGTAGAATGTGAGCTCCTGGGACCCTTCTTAACTGTTACCATCACACAATGTCCTTTTGATGAAGCACCAGCAAAAGCACACTGTGGAGAAGCCAAATGCACAGCAGAAAAATAGAAAATGCAAAGGCATTCAACGTCAGGCATGCAAACGTCTCACAGCTAGAACATGAGGAGAGGGAGAGGCACACAGAATTCCTTAAACAACAAAAAAATAAACAACAAACGTCTGTCTGCTTGAGGGCTGCTGACACCAAATCAGACAACAGGAAATTAACTAATGGAATTCAAAAAATAGAAAGAACCCTTAATGTCAAAACAGTCTCAGAAATAACAAACCTGAGAGTTGGATGGGAAATACAGCTAAGAACTCTTCTAGAAAACAGAAAAAACATGGAAAGCGGAAAGTAACCCTGCAGAAATGGAGGATTACACTGGAAACTTAACTGTCAACTAACAAAAGCTAAAAAGAAAAAAAAAAAAAACAAAAAACAAAAAACAAACACACACACACACACACACACACACAAAGAAAATTAAGAGAAAAGAAAATGCTGCAGAAACAGATAAGTATCTACATAGTGAGTTAACAGCTAGAGCTACATAGTGAAACTGTATCTCAAACAAAACCTTAGTGTTCTTCCAGATGCTTAGAGTGGTGCCTGAGTTCACTGTGCTTATAAAAATCAGAGAAGTCTCTTACCTCAGTGCCCTGCCGGCAGTAAGACAGGACGGGAAGTCTGCCCTTGCTCCGGAAGTTGGAGCTGCCCATGATCATTGGCAGGATGGCTGAGTTTGGAACGTATAGCTCTCTTGGGTAAGTCTCACAGACCTGGGAATATCAAATGGAAGTACTTAACTCTAACCAGAAACCATGAGGCCAGGCTAATTGATCTTCACCTCTCCTTCCTTTCCTTCAAGTCCAACCCCCTAGTCTCATCCCCAGCTCTACAGCACACCTTCTGCTGTGGCCACCCCTCTGTGGCCCCATTCTCAGGGGACTAGCCAGATCCTGGTGGAACACCCTGCTTTCCTCCCTCCTGTGGACCTACTCATGCCCCTCCACAGTCCATCACCTTCCTAAGTGTCAGCTCCCAATACCTAGAAACACGTTTTACCCTAACCCTCAGTGACCACACCTATCAGGGTCCCAGATAAATTCACTACCAGGTAGCACACAGCCACCACACTCTCTAAGAACCAAAGAAGAAACAGAAATCAAGCAATAAAACACCCACCCAACAAAGATAAGATCAGATACCAGCACCTAGAATTACAATAACCCCCAAATCAAGGTGGCTAGATGCCAGAGTGAAAACACAAATCAGTAAGAGCCAGGGCAGTATGTGTCCACTAGACCCCAGCAACCCTATCACAGCAGGGCCTAGGATTTCCAACACAGCTGAAACACAAGAAAAAAAAAAAAAACTTTAAAACAGACTTTATGAATACAACAGAGGTCTTCTAAGAGGTAATGAATAAATCCCTTAGAGAAATCTATAAAAACACAAGCAAACAGTGGAAGGAAATGAATAAAACTGATCAAGACCTGAAAGTGGAAATAGAATCAATGAGGAAAACCCAAACTCAGAGAAGTAGGGAAATGAAAAGTTTAGGAACTCAGGCAGGAACCATCAAAATACAAGTGATGGAAAAGAGAATCTCACACATTAAAAACAGGTACAAGTAGATATATTAGTAAGGAGCACATTAAATTTAAAGAAAATACTGGCACAAAACATCCAGAAAACCTGGGACACTATGAAAAGACCAAACTTAAGAATAGGAATAGAGGAAGGAGAAGAAAACCAGATAAAGGACACAGAAAATATTTTCAACAAAATTATGGAAGAAAATTTCCCTAACCTAAAGGAGATGCCTATCAAAGTACACGTAGCATAAAGAACACCAAAAAGACTAGACTAAGAAGGAAGGTCCCCTCAACATATAATAATCAAAACATTAAACGTTCAGAACAACAAAAAAAAGAATATTAAAAACTACAAGGGAAAAAGTAACACATAAAGACAGACCTATTAGAATTACACCTGACTTCTCAATGGAAATTCTAAAATCTAGTAGAACTTAGACAAATGTTCTGCAGACTCTTAAGAGACCATAGATGCAAGCCAAGACTACTATACCCACCAAAACTTTCAATCACCATAGGAGAAAATAAAGACATTGAATGATAAAACCAAATTTAAGCAATATTTTATCTACAAATCCACACCTACAAAGGTGCTAGAAGGAAAACTCCAACCTGAAGAGGTTAACCCACACCCAAGAATGTAGTGAGATATTCACTTTGCCCACACCTGTGGCACTGACCACGCCCACTGGTGGTGGAGACAGGGGCAGACGATACCTCAAGGAACTGGATCTGAGGAGGGGCCCCAGAAGCGCTTGCGTGCTTGCAGCACTGGGACAGGAGAGCATCTGGAGGCATCCTTGGGACCAGGAACCTGCTGGTGTTCATCTATGTTGTAAGTTATTTCTCCCTGAATAAACATCTATTCAGCCTATCTGTTTATCCAGATCCTTACTAAAACTCAATACAAGAACACATGGGGAATAAATAATCCCAGACCAGCAAAATCAAGAGGGGAAGTGTGCACGTACACATGCAAGTCCATGCATAAGAGTGAGCACAAACACATCACTACAGCTGCCACTGCAGTCCTCACTACCATCACCACTAAAGTATCAGGAAACAAAAATAATTGGTCATTGATAGCTCTCAATATCAAAGGTCTCGATTCTCCAGTAAAAAGACACAGACTAACAGAATGGATGGGTAAATAGCATCCATCCTTTTGCTGCATCCAAGAAACACACCTTAACATCAAGGACAGACATCACCTCAGGGTAAAAAGATAGAAAAGATATTCCAAGCAAATGAACCTAAGAAGCAGGCAATGTAGCCATTAATATGTGGCAAAATAGACTTCAAACCAAAACTAATCAGAAGAGATAGGGAAGGATACTACACACTCAAAGGAAAAACCCATCAAGGGGTCATTGCAATTTTTATCATCTGTGCACCAAACACAAGGGTACTGAAGTTCATAGAAGAAATACTATTATATCTTAAATCACATATTGACCACACACTGAGTGGAGTGTGGAGTAGGAGACTTCAACATCCTACTCTTACCAACAGACAGGTCATCCAGACAAAAACTAAACAGAGAAAGGCTGGAGCTAGTGAACACTGTAAACCAAATAGATCTGATATTTATAGAACATTTCATCCAAACACAAAAGAATGTCTTCTTCTCTGCATCTCAAGTGTCCCTAAAATTGGCCAAAGCAAGTTTTAACAATACAGAAAAATTGAAATAACACCTTGCATCCTATCTAACCACCACAGATTAAAATTGATATCAACAACAGAAATAATAGAAAGCTTACAGACTCATGAAAACTGAACAACTCAGGACTTAATATAAAATGGCTCAGGAGAAATGAAAAGACTTTCTAGAATTGAATGGAAATGAATACACAACATACCCAAACTTATGGGAGTTGCAGGCTATTTGATCACACTATGAAACCCAAGATTACCTTATTTCCTGGAAAAACCTGCCTCTAGCTGAGGTGTGACCCAGCCCTAGTACACACCCTTAATCCAAGAGTTTTCTGTTTATTATTATTAACAGGATTAAATAAAATCAACCATAGGTCAAGAAACGGAGCAAGCAACTAGTTAAAAGGAAGTAGTCATAGAGAGTAGGAGGGGTCAGGAAGATGAATAGAGGTAAACAGGAAATAGTAGGAAGGGACTTTTGAGTTTGGAGGTCCTTTTTGGTTTGGAACAGAAGAGGAGAAAGGTCAGCTGTCTGCTTTCTCTGCCTCTCTGAGCTAGCAGGTCTCTCTGAGTTCGATCAGGCTAGCCTGGTCTACAAAGTGAGTTCCAGGATAGCCAGAACCTATGGCAAAAAAAAAAAAAAAGGACAGAAACCATGAGGCAAAAAAAGAAAACAAAACAAAAAACAAACAAAAAAATCCCTTTAAAAACATTTAAAGAAAAACAACCTTGTTCCAAATTTAAATTAAAAAAGGAAAAACAAACAAACAAACAAACAAAAAACCCATAAGAGAAGCATGCTATTGTTCAGACGGTTGGAACCCTGCCACATGTTGCCCTCTGGGACTATTTCCTGAACTGCTCCAGAAGCTGGCTTACCTTGTACTCCCGGTTGGCATCACACAGTTTCCATTTTCTATTAGGCACTCCCATCCTCTCATATTCCTTAGCAAGGTCAATGACCTCCCAACCCTTTAGTCGTTCGGAATCATCTTGTTTGGGATTATAAGAAAATGCATAGAGATCTTCATATTTTCCTGTAAGACAATAAAAGTCAATACAATGTAATTTATAAGGCAATGGACTACAAATAAAATAATTTTTATGATTTTCCCTTTTTTTCTTCAAAATTTTAAGGGGTAGCCAAGACATGAACATACCTGAATCTAATATTTTCTAAGTTCCATAAAACAAATGACTGTAGCTAAAGGCATATGTATAGACCTGAAAAGTGAACCATTATATGGGTGCTGGGAATCAAGCTCAGGTCCTCTGAAAGAGCAGACAGTGCTCTTACCCACTGAATCATCTTCTCCAGCCCCAGAATTAGCCATTCTCATAGGTCAGTATGGACCCAAACCAACAAGGACACTGGCACATAACCATCTTTGTACCTTGGTTCCACCTAGGACAATGCAATGATTCAGGCTGTGTGAGCATCAAGAGAACACAGACCTGCTCCTAGGTCACTCATGTGGGCCTCCATCTAAACTGCTCAACTGAAATCCACAAAAACAAGTAATCCAAGTCTTCAGAAGCCTTCAGAGCCCCAGGCTTGGACAATGGTAAGATTCATTTTTAGGGCATCTATCCCTCCAACTCCACATCTATTAAGATGGGGATGCACTCCTGGCTCTGGTGTATCTACTACCCCAGCAACTGCTGCTAGAGAACCATGCCCTTGTGTGACTTTTTATTTAGAAATACCTCTTTCATTAATAGAGAAAACCCACACTTAAAAAAACAAAAACAAACAAACAAACAAACAAACAAAAAAAAAAAAACCAGTGAGTAGCTAGGGAGCTAGGTTGGTCTCAGTAAAGTGCTTTCTTTGAAAACAAGAGGACCTGAGTTCAATCCCCAGCACCCAGGTAAAAGGCCAGCTGTGGTAGCACATGACTGTAATCCCAGTGCTGGGGAGGTGGGGACAAGTGGCTCCCAGGGCTTGCAGCCAGCCAGCCTCACCTAAACTGGCAAGTCCTAGGTCCCAAATGACTGTCTCAAACAACAAAGCAGATGGCTCCTAAGGAAAGGCACTGGACCCTGGCCTCCATACACACATACGCACATGTGCTACCTCATCTCCACACACACAAATACATACACAACATGCTACTTGTCTATCAAGAAAGTTTTAGTGTTAATATAATCTAAGGTAACTTCAGGCTGTACTATAAAAGCCTTTCCTAACATTGTTCCTTCATTGGACACCATTCTTACAGTTCAAAGCAGTAGTTTCTATTATTTCTAAACATTTGTGGGGAATTTCTAAACCACTGAGGGATTTGACAGTACATACAGCCTAGCTACAATGTAAAGACAAAATAATAACAACACCATAAAGAGTGCTGGAAAACCCATCTCAATTAAGTATGAGAACTCTGGCTCTCTAAGAACAACATACCTTGTTTTGACAGTTGCAGCAGAGAGTTGTAAATATCATGGCAGTCTCTTTCCCTGGGAACAACGAAATGCACAATCCTGAAGTTTTTGCACTGAATCACTAGTGGGCATCCAGAAGTGGTCAGGGCAAGCTTCTCCACAGAGGCAATATGGTGGTGTAGTATCTACAGCATAAACAAACGTCCTAGTCATCAACACACAAGGCGCTGGCATACTGTCTTCTCCAGAGTATATAAATATGAAGGCTCAATCAAGTACAAGTTAAGTGTACTAGCACACTTAACACATACCAATGCTTGATGCCTGAGCCAAGACTATGTTGTCATTTTTGTTAGTGTCTTCATGTCAATACATGCTGGCTGCTGGATGAGAGACTGGGGGTAAGCTCAGCAGCAGAGTGTCTGCCTAGCATGCACAAGGTCCTGCTTTTCAACCCAACTGCTATAAAAGTTTTAATTAGTTTAATTAATTAATGTTTACCAAGTATATAAATAAAAAGTCTCACTACAGATTTATGGCTTGATGGCATTTTGAAAACGTAAAATCATCATTCCCAGTGTTCTTGATAGTTTGTTTACTACTAAGAAATTTTACTCTTTCTCAATACCATTTCTAGTCACTCAAAATATTTAAAGAAAACACTTCTGGAGAACAGGTTTTAGGTTCCTGAATGATAAAAATTCAATCATAGAAGAGATCCAGCTGTCATTAATTAACCTTAAAATGAAGCATAAGTTGCAGCAACAAACTCCACTCTGCTTTGTAGGTTATTTTTTATATCTGTTCGTTTCCAGTGGGAAGGAGAGGGATAGAAAACTATATGTGTGCCATATAATTATGATTATATTATGTTAATATTACTAATTATATTAACTGTACATATTAAACCTAAGGCTGTCGTGCAAGATTAAATACATACAAGTAATCAAGAAAAGCTTGAAAAAGCCTTAATGAGATAATGTGTCCATGAAAACGGCTCTAATGGTCCATGCACAGACAGAACTCATGCTTAGGGAATTAGTTCCACTAATATTTGTCTAGTGGGCCTAGTACAAAGTTGTTCATAACCATCTAACAGTGCCATCTCCATAGGGGACTAGGGACAATAATCTATAAGATATGTCAATTATCTATAAGATATGTATCATTATTAGGATTCTAATTAAGACCCCAAATCATTTTCAGGAGAGTGACAAAGGGGCTGAGATCATGTGAGTGTAAAAGAATGCCTATCTGTACAGTGAGAAAGAGGGCCCAATGTCAGGAACTAGAATCACAGTGCTCCCACTACACAGACCCCAGGAGAGACCAATGGATACACTGCTAAGACTGCATGAAGACAAGAGAGGGGAGCAGCAGGCATCTCTTTGCTGTCCCTCAATCTACAAGCACTTTACTTTACTTCCTGTGTTTATATATCAATGATGGCCAACTCTACAAAAGAAAACAAGAGTCTTTGTACTCTGAGCTGAACCCTAGGGGTGTGTGATTCCCTGCCCTGGGAGACAGAGACAATCTCTCATCTTGGTTCTACTGCTCAGAAATGGGTAAGAACATCTGGGATTTGCTGAGCTGCTACTTTAACACAAGCTTTGCCTATTTTCTCTTACTTAATATTCACAAAAGCCCTCCACGATGACAGATACTATGCCCTTTTTTGCAGAGGTATTAAGCAGAAACGCTGGGTATGCTATTCCTTCCCTTCTCTCCTTGCAATAATCCAATCTTCACCAAGATATCAAAAATGTCAGGAACCTGCACTCACTGTCTTGCATTCAAATAGGTGTTTCCAAATGTCCCAATATCGCAACACTCAACATCATGGAATGTTGTCAGGGTTACCTGGGTAAAACTCCCTGCTAAAAGGAGAATGCTGAATAAAGTCACCCCCACCCCCCACATTCCCCAATCTTCAGAAGCCTGTTGGCATTTTTGTCTGATACTAACCTAGTCACAGTAGGAACCACCCAACCTGCAAGCAACAGAGCCAGCCTCTGACCCGGAGCTGTACCAACTCACTGGTGAATAAGTCCCTTCATTATTCTGCCCAGACTGTGTGAAACTGTCTGAATTAACACATCCCTTGGTTTCAACTTCTGCACCTTGAAATGGGGATCACAAAACCTGACATGATCAGGGCTGTAAGAAAAGTGGCCAAGGCATTCCCTCTGGAGTATGGCATCCCCTTTCCTGTATTTCTTCGTAGGGTGTAATTTCCACTTTCCTTATTTATCATTGTTTCTCAAATCTCTATGGGAACAGAAGTTTTATGCTAAGACTGGCTGTTACTTCCAAAACACCTACAATAGTGATAAGAAAACACAGCAGGTATTCAGTAACTATCTGCTAAAGGAATGAATAAATAAAGGGATAAAAAGCATCCAAGCCAGGGGGTGGTGGCACACGCCTTTGATCCCAGTACTTGGGAGGCAGAGGCAAGCGGATCTCTGTGAGTTTGAGACCAGCCTGGACTACAAAAGCTAGTTCCAGGACAGGCTCCAAAGCAACACAGAGAAACCCTGTCTCAAAAAAACCAAAAGAGAAAAGAAAGAGTGTGGGAGGAAGGGAGGGAGGAAGGAAGGAGAGAGAGAGAGAGAGAGAGAGAGAGAGAGAGAGAGAGAGAGAGAGGGGAAGAGAGAGAAGCTATCCAGTAGTAATGACAACCTTGAAGAACAAGCTGAGAGGATCAGCAGTCCTGGATATCAACACATATAAAAAGCTCCTGTTAACAAAGAAGTGAGACAGGTAAAGTGTAGCTGATATGTTAAAAGAGCAGGACAGGCAGCTCAACAGCAGCCCCCACATACACAGAAGCTTTACTCGTGAGAGAGGTGGGCCCAGTAACAAAGGGAATGAAGCAGCCAATACATACATGGTATCAAATAAATAGGATGTCACACCATACCCCTAAGTCTCTCCCAGATGTTAGCTAAGAATTGACATGTGGACAGTAACACGTGAAAGCTTCAGAAGAAGAAACCACAAAAGCAGCTTCCTTACACTGACACACAGGAAGGCTTCCTAAATATACTACAAATGAAGAAAAAACCATAAAAGAAAAAACTGAAAAAAATCTATGTTAAAAATGTGAACTTTAGTTAAAAGACGTGTACACAAAAGCATGCAGAAAACTAGCTGTAACTGAGAAAAACCAATGATGACACACAATCTGATAAAGATTCAAAACCCAGAACTCTATAGAATCAGAAGACAGAGCTGGGGATGCAGTTCAGTAGTGCAATGTTTGCCTTGCACAATCAAGACCATTCTCTAGCACAAAAAAATTAAAATTAACTCTAAAAGGCAATAAATAGAAATAAAAAAGAGAGACAACTTATAGAAAGAAAACTTAAGAGCCAAATCATCTGCAGGGATGACGTCTCTGGACTCAGCAAGTTGACATGGCAGTTGCTCCTCTGAATTAGATAGGCAGGGGTCTTTAAGGTGGCAATTCCACAGTTGCTGAGGAAACAGAAAAACCTAACACTCCACTGACAGGAGTGATCTGAAGCAGCCATTATGAAGGAACATGAAAGTTTAAACATACACTTCACAAGACCTAGCAATGTCTTCTCACTCCCAGGGAAATGTCCAAGAGAAACCCCAGCACATATGTACAAATAAATGCTGTACGCAGATTTTGTGAAGCTAAACCCTCAACATCACAAGATTGGGGTCATCAACACCTTCATCCCAGTAAAAAGCCCAAGCTTAACTTTGGCTCCCCCCACACTTCACTGCTAATAATCTATTGACTACATGTATTTCCAGTAATAAGAGCCATTAACATATTTTATGTTATACATTGGACACAGTGAAAGTACATGAGGTCCTTGGGCCACTAATTTACTGCACTGTGCAATTTCCTGGAGAAATAAACTGCATCTGCTTATGATTTGATGGTGGTCAGCGGCGGCCCACAACACAGCACTTTAAGCAGATTCTTGCAACTGTTCATCTTGCTGCACTAGTAACACATGTGGCTACAAAAATATTAACTTTTACTTAATCCAATAAAATTCCTTTTAAAATAAAAAAATATTTTAGTAGTAGACTATGTAACTCCAAATGGTGCCATCTATACCTTGTGCAAATTTTGATAAATCTGTGCAATAGATTTTATTTTATAATTGTAAATGAAAAAAATAACCACATGTTTAATGCATCCATGACATATTTAACTTTTTCTTGATTTATGCACTATTTCTATGCTACATGATTTACCTGTAAGTTTTTTTTTTTTCAAGTTGTAATCTAAAAAGAAAACAAATTGGAAAAGAAAGAAGAGCCCAAGAAATGGCTCAGTAGTTAAGAGCATGTACTGCTCCTTCAGAGAACCTGGGTTTAGTTCCCAGCATCCACATCAAGTGGCTCACAACCACCTATAACTCCAGTTCCAGAGATCTAATGTCCTCTTTTGTACTCCAAGGGCACCTGATTCATACATGCACATAGCCTGACACAGAAATACACACATACACATAAAAATAAATCTTAAAACCAAGAGGAAAAAAAAAAAAAAAACCAAAAACTCAGCATATAAGTGGATCCACTCAGTTCAAATCTAACATGTTGTTGAAGCATCCATTGCAATCTATCTGCATATGTACATTAAATATACTTAAGAGCATGCCTACAACAGATATTTGGACATATACAATAGTTATATAAGTATACCAAAATGTTTAAAGATACAAAAAAATAAATCTCCTAATGTAATTTGGCATTAAAATGCTATGGAATATACTATACAATCCATATGATTACTAACATGCACAAACTTTACCTACACTTTTAAAAGAACTAAAGAAACAAAAAGGCATTTTCTAAGTTTTTACAGAAGTTAGAACAGTCTAGTATTCTACATAATTCCATATTACAAATGGTATAAATGACTCCTAGAAGGGAGGCACAGGTCAGTCGAAAACAGAAAAAAAATTAGCTGATCTGTGAGTAGTTACATAGGCCTGTAATCCCAGCTCTCCAGAAGATGACAAGTTTAAGGCCAGCCTGGGCTACAAAATAAGAGCGTGTTCAAAACAAAAAACAAAAGCAAAACTAACAGAAACTTCTGGTTGAGATAAATAATCAGTGATTAAACAGCCACTCCATTGTTACTGTGACAGTAGCTAGTCCTGCTATGGTACACCTTACCCAGGTTTCTTTTTGCTGAGCGTCAATAAATAACAGATGCGTGGCCGTAAGATACAGGGTTCCCATCAGTGACTTGTTGTTCGTACTAAAGCGATCAAGTAACTTTACATGTTCAACCTAAGAAAGAAAAAGATGTTATTTTAATTTCGAATGTAGTCTTTATTTCTGTTGCTATGATAAAACACTGACCAAATGCAACACAGGACAGGAGTAGGTTTAATTGGCTTGTACTTCCAGGTCAAAGTCCATCATTGAGGGAAGTCAGGGCAGAAACCTGAAGCACAAACCATGCAGGAACGCTGCTTGTTTACAGGCTCAGGTTTAGCTGGCTTGCTTTAACAGTCTAATACTATCTGCTCAAGGAAGAGGTCTGCCTCTATTATCCTGGGCCCTCCTACATCAATTAACAACCAAGTTTCACAGATGTGCCCACAGACCAATTTAATCTAGGCAATTCCTCAGCTGAGGCTTCTCCTCTCAGATGACTCTACACTGTGCTGTTAGGTGGATAATTAAGGCTAACCAGGGCTCTAATAGGTCCAAGCAAGGCAAAAAAAGGCTCTAGCACCCCGTCCTTCCCCTATTCTGTCTGCCTTGCTAAACATTTAGATTATATTCCTAAAGATAATTCCTTTATTTGGCCACTTCCTCCTCCTAAGTCTGACCTTCAAGATCCAGCTATCAAAGTATTGCAATCCAGCAATCAAAAGTCCCCTTTTGGCTACCCTAATTAACAGGCTCAATCCAAATTAACCACCTCATGTTAATATCGGGATTTCCCTTTTTCCCTTTATAAACTGCCATATGCCAGATGGAGTCCTTTGTCCCTCAGGGCAAAGACCCTGCCCCCCGCCCTTGTTCCTTTTCCATTCTTTCCTTGTCCTCTGTCTCCTGTCTTCATCTCTTATTCCCTGCCCTCTGACCCTCTGAGGCAAATAAATCTTTGTTCTGAGAACTTGGTCTTGGGCTGTCTTGTGCCAACTTTGAGGTCCTTTCAGCAATACAAATAAATTTTTTCTAATCCTAGGAACTGCATGTATCATTATGTTTTCTTCCTCTTTTTGTCCCAAAACACTGCAAGCTGCTTAATATTCAAGGTAAAATTTCATCTGTCTCTTGGAGGAACACAGATTTTATTTAGATGCCAATGTAACCTAGGAAAGACTTTACGAAACACAACACTAATGTACAAGGAGTGCAGTGTGTGTGAGCAAAATACTTTTTACATCTAAGAGCCTATTTTACTGTATATGCTGCCATACAGAGCACCGAGTATCTGTTGTGCCCTGGTTTCCTCCAGGAACGAACCATTTCCACCCTCCTTAATCAGAAAGGTAAACAGCTAAAGTAGATTCAGGAAGTCCCTAAAACTAGCCAGATACACTAGGTCCCTCCCTTCCAGAATAAGCAATAAAGCCCCTGAAAGCCATTTCCAGACAAGCTAAGCTGCAAAGAGGACTCTGAGCAGGCCCTCTGCCTGGACGAAGTAGTGACTAGAAACCAGCTGAGCTGCCTCAAGGTTTAGAGCAACCAAACCATTTAGAAGGGACACTCGCAGCTGGGCAGTGGTGGTACACAACTTTAATACTAGCACTGGGAGGTGAGACCAGCACATCTCTATGAGCTCAAGGCCAGCCTTGTCTACAGAGCAAGTTCCAGGACAGCCAGGGTTATATAGAGAAACCCTGTCTCGAAAACAAAAACAGGGACACTCTCCAACCTGTTGAGCTGCCTGCAGGCTTTACAGTTTTTGTGTAGTGTAACCAGTGCTGGGTGGCCTTTTGTGATTTAGCTGTCTTGGAGTCATGTGTGATGCTGTAAGTAATTCCTGTAACTACAATAAAACTCATGGTTCACCAAGTTGGACTTTGGTGGTATCTGTACTTTGGTCTGTTGTGGACTCCCTATCTGAGGTGAGTGGAGATGTAAGTAGTGTCTCCCCAAGAAGTTTTGTCACAATACACTATTCAATTTTATCTTAAGTGGAAAATCAAGTAATCATATTAAAGTTCTAGAAGTATATGACTGCGAAGATTAAATCAGGAAACCATTGTTTGCAAGCTCCAGCTTATGATCTATATTCCCCTCACTGTTGTAAAAAACACAGCTGTTATGCAGCCAGCTCTGGCTCCTGCTTTCCTACAAGGCCCTCTTCCACTCAGCACAACAGCAAGCCTTCTCCCAGACTCACCTATGAATTACCTCCAAAGGTAACTCTTACTTAGAAAGTTAATCTGTTACTTATGTCACCTTGTCTCTTCCCTGAGTTCCCTGATACAAACCGTACTGAGTTGCATTGGCCTCCTATAGTGTCCAGGAGGCTGAGACCCACAACACTGCATAAGTATAATAATATTCATGTCTACTAATACACACACACACACACACACAGAGAGAGAGAGAGAGAGAGAGAGAGAGAGAGAGAGAGAGCTGCCACAGGAGTGCAGAGTGAGAGAGTGGGACTGGGACTAGTCAGGAGACTAGAGCTTTAAAATTTAATGTCATCCATCTTATAGGGAAACCACATAAAATAAGTGCTACCACCATAGTTTTCAAATGTACAGCTCTATCACAGGAGGCTGTGGGCAGTTCGTTACAGTGTGTACATCTCCAAACTAGAGAGTTCACCATGGTATCATTAATTCTATATTTTCCTGATGTATTTACTTTTCTATTACCAAAGAGCAAAACACTCCCATTCTGAAATGATTAATCAAACTGATCATCCCCAGATGGTGGTGGTACACAGGTCTTTAATCCCAGCACTCGGGAGGTAGAGGCAGGCCAATCTCTGTGAGTTCGAGGCCAGCCTGGTTTACAGAGCAATTGCCAGGACAGGCTCCAAGCTACAGAGAAACTGTCTCGAAAAACAAAACAAAACAAAAGGCTGATCATCTCACCCATCTTCACTCTCTATAATTTATTTCCATGGAGAAAACACTGTTCAGCAAGTTAAAACTTAAATTGAAAATTTTAATACAAGACTTTATTTGCATGGTTAAGACAATAAATGTATTATGGATACTCCGAATTGGACACTCAGAGATATGACCTAACATACAACTGAGATCTGACAGTGGATTTGACATACAGTGATCATTTTACAATGAATGTCAAGAACACAGGAAAGCTGGGTGTGGTGGTGTGCTGGAGAGGTGGAGGAAGGACGATCAGGGGTTTAAGGCCAGTTCTGTGAGGGATGTGGGAAGGCGGTAAGAAAGCTTTCTCCTCTATGAAGATTTCTCTAAGAAAGCTTTCTCCTCTATGAAGATTTCTCTTGAAGGGCAACATTGCTTTCATTGTCTAGGGCCATTTTCCCTCAAGTAAAAATATGGCTTCATTGTATCACACTGAAAACGGAAAGTTCAGTTTAAACACCTTTGAAGACAAACAGGACCAGCATCTGTCCATTCCTCTCCAATTGTCAAGACTTGGCTGAAAAGGGACAAAACCAACAACAAAAACCAGACCATGACGGCTCTCTTACTTTACTTCCCATAACAAGAGCAGTAGTGACATGTATGCAGCTAAGGATTATGGGAAAGTATCAACACCACTGAAGAGATCAATGACTTGGGGTACTTCAAAGAGCTCCTCAGAGAAAATAAAGGGTTTTGATGGGTGTGGCTCTGAACAAACAGGATGTCTGCTTAAAAGGAAGTACATGTGAAGCTACACACAAAAACACTTCTCTAAACCAAGCCTTACACTGTGATTATTTTAGTTTATTTATTTATTTAATGTTACAAAGCTTGTCTGTATGGGAGACAAACTCAGTTTTCATTTTGGGTTTTAACTACTGGTCCTTCACAGCTCTGCATTTGCAGGACAAACTAATAAATCCTATGATGTGCAGGCCTCCAGCAGTTCCCGAGGCAGCAAAGTACAACATGTCTCTATGGACACTAGTCTCAAAATGAGGAAAAAAGACAGACAGGCATTTTACTCACCCAGAGGAAGATTTCACTCTTGCTCAAGGATTCGTGTTCCTTTTTGAAGGGAAGGGGAGTAGATATGCTGGGTAGCCCAGACTGCACTGGACTTTTCCTTCCATCTTCCTTTTGTTTTGTTTTGTATTTTCCAGACAGGGTTTCTCTGTATTGCTTTGGAGCCTGTCCTGGAACTCACTTTGTAGAGCAGGCTGGCCTCGAACTCACAGAGATCTGCCTGCCTCTGCCTCCCGAGTGCTGGGATTAAAGGTGTACACCACCCCTGCCTGGCCATTATTATTATTATTATTATTATTATTATTATTATTATTATTATTATTATTTCTTTTTTCTTTTCTATCTTCTTGCTGCAGCCTCCTGAGACCTGGGATTGAGGCATTACAGGCATGCCTCACCTTGAGCAGCTAAGAGTCCATTCTCTATATGAATCTTATCCACTATCATATTATGATATATTATCATTAGCAAATAGGCTGACTTCCCAAAATCTGACTGAAAGCTCCAAGATCTTAGGGTTTACTATACATGTAAGAATATTTCCTGACACTGTAGTATGGTAAATTCTTGCCAAATATTATTTTCATTTTTACAACTAGCAGCAGCTAGCTGTTAACCAGGACAGCAGTTCCAACCTTGTGTATTCTTACTCCTGAACTAGTACGCTTAGCCTGGCATTATGTTGTCTGCACTTGAACATCTTCAGAGACCCAACTTGCTGTTTTTCTTCCCTCCCCTCCCAACACAACCCTAATTCTGCTTTTCACACATGACTTATGTCATGTCATCCACAGCAGGTTGCCAGCACTGGAAATCATCCTACTGACTTCCCGACTCGTCCACTTGCCTACCCTCAGGCTCTGCCCCTTCCACCAGTATGAGAGTAATGACAAAGCTAAGTTGAAACCCTCTTCAAGTGTATGTCTCTCCCACTAAAACCCAGTGCGTTAGCTCAGGGCAAATGGAGGATGCCCGCAGTGTACCGGTGAGCCCTTGCTGAAATCTGTTATGGGATTTATAAAATAGGAATCTTCTTTGTCTCATTACTCTGTTGTTTCCCCATGCTGCCTTTACCTTCTACAGTGGCTGACCAGCAAACACTCATTCAGTAATCCATGTATGAGCCACAAATTAAAAACAAACAGAAAAACTACTAGAAAATAGTTACTG